GGGAAAGAGTTGTATGTACTTAGAATTATTCTCCCTAGCTTTTGAGCAGAGTCTTATAACTGATATGTGAGCACTGAAGGCAGACAAAACTAAGATCTCCCAGTACCATGCAGAGATATATTAAGCTACTCTGGGAAGTAGAGAGTCATCTAGACAAGGACTTTATTCTGTTCATTTTTGTTTCATCCTTTATTCTCCATTATTTAGTCTGTGATTTTAGGTTTTATTTTATAATAATCTTTTATCATTTATTAATACTATTCTCCTACATTCTTCCCAGGGTTACTATTCAGTAGGTCACGTGTGGGGCTTGTGAATCTGCACTTTAATAAGCAATTCCTAGAGAAAACTAACCGGGACTTTTAAAAAAATATGTGTTTATTTTATTTATTTTTGGTTGTGCTGGGTCTTCGTTGCTGCATGGGCTTTCTCCAGCTGCTGTGAATAGGACTACTCTTCCTCTGTGCACAGGCTTCTCATTGCAGTGGCTTCTCTTGTTGCAGAACACAGGCTCTAGAGCACGTGGGTTCAGTAATTGTAGAGCACGGTCTCTGTTGCTCCGCAGCATGTGGAATCTTTTCCGACCAGGACTCAAACCCCTGTTCCCTGCCTTGGCAGATGGATTCTTAACCAGTAGAACCACCAAGGAAAACCCTAAACTGGTTTTTATGTGAGAAAAGTTTCTCACATAAACATGACTGAAAATTTCTGATCACTCCTTATGCCCCATTGTTTGAATTTCTTAAACCCATGCCTCTATTAATACTCCATGAACTGTATAAAGCTACATGTAAAGAGACACTCGCTGCTTCCAGCATTGTTAATGAAAATAAAAAATTAGAAGAATTAGAAACAACCAGATGTCCATCAATAGGGAATTAGATAAATAATGGTAGAAAGAAAGAATATGTAATAGTTACAAATAATGAGATGTATATCTATCACTGACCTGAAAAACTCTTATGAATACAAAGCAAAATGTTTAAGAGAAAACCTGCTAAGATAAATATATATATATGTATATGCGAATGTGTATATACACTTGATGAGTACATTTAAGTGGATATGTTTGTGTTACTGGTGAGACTATTAATATACATCCAGGGGAAAATCCTCCCATTAAAAATAATTAACTCAGAACCATAAAATTATATACATAGTATGTTGTTGGACTTAATGTTTGAATATATTGTTTCCCTATATGTGGATAAAAAGTAAATTAGTAGCCTGTATTAAATTTTTTCATAAAATATTTAATCCTAGGACAGAACAATGGACAAAGGAAGGAGGAAATAATGTTTGCTTTTTAGTTCATGCATATTTTTAACATTGAAATTTATTGAGGGGACATATATTTTTTGTCTAATTAAAGCATTAATCACTAAGACAAGTGTAATAAAATCTGACACTCTGTTGTTCATCTTCATCATTTTTTTTCCATTTATTTTTATTAGTCAGAGGCTAATTACTTTACAATATTGTAGTGGTTTTTGCCATACATTGACATGAATCAGCCATGGATTCATACCATTTTTATTTTGTTTAAACAGCAATAATGTCATGTCAGCACAGGAAAGAGGATATATTAAGGAGATCAGATCAGTAAAGGGACCCTCCATTCAGTGTCCTGATTCTCATACTGGGAGGAACTAAATAAAGATGAAACATGCAGTGAGTGCAACAATCACAGCTCTACTAAATGTAGAGTTATCAGCATCAACACTTTGGATTTGGAAGAAAAAATCTTGATCTTAACAGTTTTCTCCAAGACTAAGCATGACCATGGGCCTTTGACTATCTCCCTTGAGTCAGTTTGAGTGAGGTCTAAGAAATTTCATTTCTAACAAGTCCTCTGGTGATGTGACATGCTAAGAAACAATACTATGAGAATCACTAGTCTGCCAGACATCAAGGCTCACTTTATACCTATGGTCATTAAGGCTCTGTGGATACTGGTGAAGGGCTAGACAAGACAGCTAGCATATCATCGAGAGCCCAGAAATACACCCACACGTTGGTATACACTTGAATTATGAAGGAGACACTGAAGAGCATCTTTTCATGAATGGAGCCAAGAGTGTTGGACATTCACATGGGAAAATAAAACTGGATTTCTACCACACACTGTGTGCCAGACTGAACTCCTGATGAATTACAAACTTACATATGAAAACCAAAAACTATTAGGGTTTTTTACCTTTATTTTTATTAGTTGGAGGCTAATTACTTTACAGTATTATAGTGGGTTTTGCCATACATTGACATGAATCAGCCATGGATTTACATGTGTTCCCCATCCTGAACCCCTCTCCCACCTTCCTCCCCATCCCATCCCTCTGGGTCATCCCAGTGCACCAGCCCCGAGCACTTGTCTCATGCATCCAACCTGGATTGGCGATCTGTTTCACACTTGATAATATACATGTTTCAATGTTATTCTCTCAGATGATCCCACCCTCGCCTTCTCCCATAGAGTCCAAAAGTCTGTTCTATACATCTGTGTCTCTTTTTCTGTCTTGCATATAGGGTTATCGTTACCATATTTCTAAATTCCATATATATGTGTTAGTATACTATATTGGTCTTTATCTTTCTGGCTTACTTCACTCTGTATAATGGGCTCCAGTTTCATCCATTTCATTAGAACTGATTCAAATGTATTCTTTTTAATGGCTAAGTAATACTCCATTGTGTATATGTACCATAGCTTTCTTATCCATTCATCTGCTGATGGGCATCTAGGTTGCTTCCATGTCCTGGCTATTATAAACAGTGCTGTGATGAACATTGGGGTACACGTGTCTCTTTCAGTTCTAGTTTCTTCGGTGTGTACGCCCAGGAGTGGGATTGCAGGGTCACATGGCAGTTCTATTTCCAGTTTTTTAAGGAATCTCCACACTGTTCTCCATAGTGGCTGTACTAGTTTCCATTCCTACCAACAGTGTAAGAGGGTTCCCTTTTCTCCACACCCTCTCCAGCATTTATTGCTTGTATACTTTTGGATTGAAGCCATTCTGACTGGCGTGTAATGGTACCTCATTGTGGTTTTGATTGCTATTAGTTTTGAGAAAATAATATAGGAGACTATCTTTGTCTTCTTAAGATAGAAATACATTTCTTCAATAAGAAACAGAAAGCACTAACCATAAAATAAACCAGTAAACTGGACTATGTTCAAATCAAAGGACATTATAGAAGAAAAAGACAAATGACAGAATGGTAGATGATATTTGCAATTCACAAAACCAACAAAACACTCAGATTAAGAGTACATAAATATCCCAAGAAATCAGTAAGAAAAGCAGGCAAAGCCAGGAGTTGAGGGGAATGAGCATCCATGAAAAAAGAATTGAATAAACATTTCACAAAAGAGAAGGAAATCTAAATGACCAATAATCATGAAAAGATGCTGCATTTCATTAATAATCACGAGAAATTTAAATTGAATCACAATGGGAAGTCATTGCACACCAATAGATTACAAAAATTAGAATTCTGAGGATAACTATTAAGGGTTTAAAAAAATTTACAAATATAGAATTGTGCTCTAGAGGAATAAGTGTGGAATATGTGTGTGTTAGTCACTCGGTTGTGTCCAATTCTTCACGATCCCGTGGATTGTAGCTCCTCTGTCCATGGAATTCTCCAGGCAAGAATACTGGAGTGGGTAGCCATTCCCTTCTCCAGGGGATCTTCCTGACCAATGGATTGAACTTGGGTCTCCTGCACTGCAGGCAGATTCTTTACCATCTGATCCACCAGGGAAGTAGAACTATGAATTGGTACAGTCATGTTGGGAAACAATTTGTTATCATCTATAAAGTACAGGTAAAGATATAGCATGGTGACTCAGTGTAACAAGACTGTGTTATATATTTGAAGTTGTTATGACAATAGATTTTAAAAGTTGTCACTACAAACATCATAACTATGTATATTAACTATCATTATTGTGGTTATCATTCTGTAATAAAAACATCTATCAAATCACTGTGTTGGACACTTTAAAGAGTGTCCATTATATCTCAATAAAGCTGGAATAAATAAATAATACTTGCCAAGAGGATGTCAAGAGAATGAATAGAAAGACAGATACATGAATAGTAAGTGAAGGAGACAAAACACAAAGCCAAGATTTTCTGCATCTATATTATTTATTCTTGATATGTAGATGAAAGTTTAAAAATAAAATCACCACAAAGGAAAAGGACCCATGGGTATTGCATGAGGCAGTGGTTTATTTTGAGGGCAATAGTCGAATGTACTTTCTTTCCTAGAACTTTACTATGGACAATGTTCACCAAAATACACAATATTTTCTGTATAAAATTCAAAAGGAAATTTCCTCTCCAATTTTCATGCCAGGAATCAGTTTTATCCTCATTTAGTAAAGGAAGAAACTGAGGCTTCTAAAGGCTAAGTAACTTCTTAAACATAACTACTAACAGAAAAGGGCAGTATTCTAATAAATATCTCTTTTCCTCAATACTAAACTTCAAACACTGCTCTGAGAATAAACTCTGAAAACACATGCATTTTTATCCAACACCCATTTGCTACATACGACAATATCCTTTGCATGGCTCTGGGCATTAAACATACATAAACATTAACTGCATACCACATGGAGAAATGTCTAGTCCACACACCAACCCAGATACTGGGAAGCACAGACCCTGAGAGCACATAGATCTACCACTGCATTCCCTGAAAGCTTTAACCTTCCAATATGTTAACCTATAACCTGCCAGGATCTAGAATACACATTTGAATGTCCTAAAATTAAAATATTCACCCCAATGAGTATTTGTCCATCCTTGATAAAATGTATCAGTTGGGGAAACTGAAACATGCCCATAAGATAGTGCACCGAGGTTCAGAAACTCTGAGATTAATCCCAACATCTAAACAGGAAATCTCAAGGGTCCCCTGTCCCCCTGGAGTCAGTTATGCTAGTTGTGATTCCTATTCTGCTTTCTCTGCCTACAGAGATCCCAGGACAACCTCTCTAGAGAGGTCATCACACCTCAACAACCTCAGCCTAACAAGCACCCCAGAGGCCAGAAGAGCAGATTTCAGACTCATGAGAAGCTGGCTGGGCTTCCTCAACCAAGAGAGTCCTCCCACTTGAGTCAGAGCATCTCTGCCTTCTGAGATCTGGAGCTGGCAGAAGCAGTATAGAGATAGGGTCCAGGTGTTAGGAAAAAGGTGGGGTTGAGGTCAGGGAAGGGAAACGTGCTATCCCTTTGGAGTAGTGTAGCAGCTCCTCCTCCATCCCTGCTTGTCTCTTTGTCAATCAGCCCAGAAGTACATAGAAGACATATGAGGAAGCTGAACTTTGGCTGAGAAGCAGACTTTACCTGATAAATAGAACTGGTGCACATCATCTTCTGGAGTGGCTGGGAAGGAAAGAAAAGCATCTCGATGTGGAGGTGAGCTTCAGAAGTTAGCCACTCACTTGGCTACTCCAACCCAGTTTGGTACCTTACTCTTTTCTCCCTGATACTTTCAAATATTTCATGGATTGAGAAGTCATAGGTCCATGGTGGTAAAACTTCCTTTTGGAATTTGGTTTTAAGCTCAGCCAGTTGGACTTCTAGGCCATATATACCATTTGTTTTTATGGAAACAAAACCCCAGCAATAGAAAGAAAAGAGAGAGAAAAAAAAGATTGCAATCTTCACCTGATCCACTCACCCTCTGCTTTTAGACTATTCTTTCTGATTCTCTAGTCAAAAACCTTCCTCCTCTTTTCTAGTCTTCAACCTGGCTATTCCTCATTTCTCTGACCTAGAGCAATCAATCCCATTAATTTACCAAATCTCCACTAATTTTTGTATTGCACATTCCCCAGGCAGCCCTTTCACAAATGACTCACTTTTGAATATTGATCTGCGTGTGATGTACTGCTTTACAGACATAGTGTCTCCCTTGTTATTCGTAAAACATCAGGAACCAGCTTGTGAGCAGGTGATGCAGGATAAATCAAACCCCTCACTGTTTGTCTTCAGCCCAGGGTACTGTCCCCTGCATGACTCCAACACCAACACCAGACACGCCCTAGTCATGCATGGCCAATTTTTCCACCCAATTTAACCAGTTAATCATAGATATTCAAATTTTCAAATTCTGCCATCTCTACAACACAGAAAGATAGGCCACCTCTCTAACAAATACAAGGATAAATTCTGAGTATGGGAGAGGAAAGCGTGTCTGATAAGGAGGATAGAAGGGCAAACCATGTAAGAAATTATCAAAACAATTAAAATAGTGCCTATGTTGATTGTGATAGACAATTAGCATACCAAGCCTAGAGGAGCGGTAGCATAATACTAGAGAGCATAAACTTACAGTGAGCCAGCTTGGAGTTCAAATTCTGATTGCTCTTCACATCCTTGAAAGTGAAAATGAAAGTTGGTCAGTCGTGTCCGACTCTTTGCAACACCATGGACTATACAGTCTCTGGAATTCTCCAGGCCAGAATACTGGAGTGGGTAGCCTTTCCCTTCTCCAGGGGATCTTCCCAACCCAGAGATTGAACCCAGGTCTCCCACATTGCAGGTGGATTCTTTACCAACTGAGCTATCAGGTAAGGCTTAATGTCCTTAGTGAACTTCAACAAACCACTTCAACTCTGTAAGCCTTAGTCTCTTAAAATGCTTCATAATTCCTTAGGATTTAGTAGGATGTTTAATGTAAACTTGATACATAATACTTACTCACAAATATTGGTCATTATTATTAACTTTAATTACCAATTCATCCAATTATTCAATGCATAAACAAATATTCCTTCCATAAAAACTTGCAAAACCCTGAAATTAGCCAGACAATTTGGCAGTAAGGGATGTGATACTTTATGTACATAAATTAATTGATTTTGAGAACATCAAGAAATAGATAAAGGAAGGTGACACAGGGACTGATGAGGATCAACAGCTTCTCCTGCATGCTGATAATATGTTGTCTCTCTTCTAAGTGTTTTCATGCATTATTTCACTAAATCTTCATAAGAATGTGAATATTTGTGTCCAACATTACACATGAAGTATTTGAAGTTTAAAGATATTTTATAACTTAGAATATGAGCATTTAATTGTAAATGAAGCAACATATTAATTTAACAATGTTAAATAAATTAATATATCAATAAATAAATTAATATATAATAAAAGACTTTAAGGGCTTCCCAGGTTTTGCTAGTGGTAAAGGATCTGCCTGCCAGTGCAAGAGATGTAAGAGACATGGATTCAATCCCTGGGAAGTTCTCCCAGAGAAGGGAATGGCACCTTACTCCAGTATTCTTGCCTGGGAAATTCCATGGGCAAAGATCCTGACAGTCTATAGGCCATGGGGCCTCAATGAATTGGACACAACTGAGCGACTGAGCACACACACACACACACACACACACACACACACACACACGGCTTTAAAATGCCTTAAAGTTCCAGTGCAATATGTCCATTTAAAATGTATTAAAGAATACACTGCCTCTGAAAATTAGTTTAAACACTTTAATGATATAAGTATATTCATTGTAGGGATTTTTATGGTAACCAAGAATTTATAAATAACCAATGTCTCAAAATGTTTGAAATTTCCGATGCAATGTGTAATTCACAAAGTATGGATGAATATGCTGGCTCTAAAAATTTCTTCAAAAAATGTTTGTTGATGTAAGATCTATCATTATAGAGTATTTTGTAGCAGCAAGAAAGAGAGGCAATTTTGATGTCCATTATTAGGTAACTGGGTATGACTGGAAAACACATGCTTACATGTTTCTCATAGATATCTTTGAATAAATACGTGAGAGAAGAAATTTTAAAACATGAATTGAATAGTTAACAATGGATGCCTTTCTGTACAAATATGGTTTAGGACAGGGGATTAATGAAAGGGAAAATGGTTTACGAAAGAGGGGAGACTTGCACAGACTGCTGTTAGCATGCCGTGAGCTGAGGAGGGTGAACCTCTCATTCTGTGTCCAGACAAGGAAAGAAACAGTGTTGAACTGGATTCAACATTCCTCTTGGGTGGTCCCTGTTGATTATTTTGGCAAATGCTTACTTCTATTGAAGACATGCAAAGATAAAGTTTAATTTTATAACGACTGAATTTGCTTTGATAAAGAATGGGGGTCCTGTGACTTCAGTATCTAAAATACTCCCCACCCCCAATGATATCTACCCTCTTACACTATTAATACCCTATTTTTTTAACAAATGTATTGCTTTGTGATATTATATTACATATACTGTTTGTAATCATCTGACCTATCAGCCAAGCTACATGAATTACACAAAGGCAAAGATTTCTGTTTTATTTCTGTATTCCCAGCAATAAGGATTTCCTAGATTTCCCAGACTAGGCACTAAGGAACTCGAATTAGAGGTTTCTAAAGGATAACTCTCCGTCTGTTCCTCCTGGTGTCAACAGAAGACCCTTATGATAACACGGATTTGGGAACGGAGGACCACATCAAAGACCACGAGGGTGACAAGCTTTCCCAGCACAGCTGCAAATAGTGGCCAGACAGAGGAAACAAAGACTCGCTGGGTTCTGGTGATTTGGGCTGTGGAATTGGAGCATGAGAAATAACAAACCTTCTTGTATCTAAATAGACCCAAGTCAATGGAAAGACTGAACCAAACCAGCAGTGTCTCTGAGTTCATCCTCCTGGGACTCTCCTCCCGGCCTGAGGATCAGAAGCCACTCTTCATCCTCTTCCTCATCATGTACCTGATCACCATAACAGGGAATGTGCTCATCATCCTGGCCATCTGCTCTGACCCCCAACTGCACACCCCCATGTATGTCTTCTTGAGTGTCCTGTCTTTCATTGACATTTGGTATACAACAACCATTGTCCCCAGGATGCTGGTGAACTTCCTGTCAGAGAAGAAGACCATCTCCTATGCTGAGTGTCTGACCCAGATGTATTTTTTCTGTGCTTTGGGCAACACTGATAATTGTCTTCTGGCAGCCATGGCCTATGACCGCTATGTGGCCATCTGTGATCCCTTCCACTATGTCACCATCATGAGCCGCCGCACCTGTGTCCTGCTGGTGGCCATCTCCTGCTCATTGCCTCACTTTCACTCACTCCTACACATACTTCTGCTGAATCAGCTCACTTTCTGCAACTCCAATGTTGTCCACCACTTCCTCTGTGACATCAACCCTCTGTTGAAATTGTCCTGCTCCTCCATATTTGTCAACGATCTCACAATAAAGACGGAAGGACTGGCGTTTTGGGTGACCCCCTTCCTATGCATTGTTTTCTCGTACGTGCGAATCCTCGTAGCAGTTCTCAGGATCCCCTCAGCTGCAGGGAGACACAAAGCCTTCTCCACCTGTGGCTCCCACTTCACTGTGGTGATCCTGTTTTATGGAAGCATCTTCTATGTCTATTTACAGCCCTTGTCCAGCTACACTGTTCGGGACCGAGTGGCTACACTTGTCTACACGGTCCTGTCCTCCATGCTCAACCCTTTCATTTACAGTCTGAGAAACAAAGACATGAAGAGGGGCCTAGGGAAGCTGATGGGCAGGAGGAAATCCTAGCCAGAAGGAGGAAATCCTAGCTTTTGGGGGATATGTTCATGGGTTTCTCTGAGGCTTAGATCCTGTTTCTGCTAGTTCTCGATACATGTAATAAACTCCTGTAGGTCAGCAGATACGACTCACATGTGTCATGGATGTTGGGTTGTGTCCACTTCTTTACACATACAACTAGTAACCATGGAGACTTTATGATGATTCAGTAATAGGCTCCAGGTCTACCAAAATCTTGGCTTCCAGTTTTCATATTTCGCCATCTCTCTTCCTGTCTTCCTCTGTTCCAGGAAACCACATCTTTTTCATTGCTCCAAATGCTGTTGAAACCTTTGTTTCCCACAAAATTTCCTAGAACTTAACATATATCTGTTCAATAACTTTTGATTCCCTTAATCAAATTTGGCTCTTGATGTAATTTCTGTAATAAACTAGCTTTTTGAAAGTCGTTGCAGTGATTCAGAAAAGAAGAAGCAGAGAGAGAGTGACAAGATTGAGACTCTTAAGAAATGGAAACTTCCACCAAACAAGGACTGTGTCTAGTGCAAGAGCTATCCAGGGATTGTGCCTCTTCCTTCTTCCATATTTTTGACAGCACAATGTTCTGGGCTCTGTAGTGAACAAAAGCCCAACTCTTAGCCCCGCTTAGCTAGGTGACCTAGTAGTTCAGCACACAACTGCCCTGATTATCAGGCCAATGTGCATGAGGCTGAGTTGCCTCTGAGTCTCTACGCTGGTCATCTGGTGCCTCAAATATGCCTCAAGGCACTGGTCTTGTTTCCTCTCTCAGCTTTAGTTCCCCTTAGAGATTCCCCTATCCATAGCCACCATCATAACCATCTGGATCTGTCTTCTTCCCAGAGAAAATACATACATTAATTCTATGTACTTAGAATTAATGATTCTAAGGAGAGTATTAAAACCCACATGTGAACATTAAAGGCAGATATAACTAGGAACTTCCAGAACCATTCAGAGACATACTGAGTGCTCTGGGAAGTAGAGTCATCTAGGCAAGGACTTTATTCTGTTCACTTCTGTTTCTTCCTTTATTCTCTATTATTACTCGGTGATTTTATACTTTATTTTATATCTGAATATTTTATCATTTATTATTCTTCTATGTTCTTCCTGGAGCTATTATTCAATAGGTCTCATGTGGGCCTGTGAATCTGCATTTTAAGGAGCACCCCCATTGAAAAGACTAACCTAGTCTTTATGTGGGAAGCTGCATGACTGAAAATTCCCGACCACTCCCTATGTCCCATTATTTGTATTTCTGGACTCATGCCTTCAGTAATGATGTATCAAGTGTATAATCTACATGTATACAGACACTCACTGATTGCAACATTTTTCATAATAGAAAAAATTAGAAAAATTAAAAATAATCTAAATGCCCATCAATAGAGAAATAGATAAATAGGGTTCAATTTTTCCATAGAGAGAAATAATCTGTAATAGGTATATGTAAGGAGGTATATTTCTAGGACTGACCTGAAAAGCCATTATGAATATACACCAAAATGTCTATGAGTAAACCTGTTAGGGTGAAAAAGAAAAGCATATATGTGTGGGAGGGGGTATATTTTTGTGTATCTGCTGAGATTATATACCCAGTAAGAAAACATACACCCTTACACACACACACACACACACACACACACACGTATATATATATACACCAAAATGTCTATGAGTAAACCTGTTATTATATATATATATATATATATATATATATATATATATATATACCGCTATACAAAAGACTAGAAGGAAATAATGTGTACTTTCAAGTCTGCACATATTTTTAACATCAGAACTTTTAGACAGGGACATATATTTTTTTGTATAAATAAACACCAGTTGTTAAGAGCAGTGTAAAATCTATTGCTCTGTTTTTCATCATCATTGAGTTTTGTTTAAGTAGCAATAATATCACGTCATGATAGGAAAGAGCTGGTATAAAAGAGGTCGGATCACCAATGGGACCCTCCACTGAATGTCCTGATTCTCATTTTGATGAACTAGATAAGGAGGAAACACTCCATGCATGAAACAATCACACTTCTACACAACATAGAGTTTTTGCTATCAACACTTTGGGTTTGGAAGAGAAAATCCTGATCTTTACACTTTTCTGCAAGACTGGGCATGGCCACGGAGCTGTGGCCATGTCCCTTGAGTCAGTCTGAGTGAATTCCAAGAATTTTCATTTCTAACAAGTCCTCAGGTTATGCCACATACTGATTAAGAAAAATACTTTGAGAATCACTTGTCTACTAGATATCAAGACCCACTATAGACCTATTGTAGTGAAGGCTATGTGGATATTGGTGAAAGACTAGACAAACACGACAGCTGCTATAAAATAGAGAGCCCAGAAACACAGACACCCCGCCCACTGTGGGTATACACTTGACATGAATGAGGCACATCTTTTCTTGAGTGCAGCTTAAGACAGCTGGCAAATCACATGGAAAAATGAAACTGGATTCTTACCACATACCATATGCAAAAATTTACTCCTAATGAATTACAAACTTAAATATGAAAACCAAAAACTAAAAATTTTTAGAAAGTAATATAGGAGAATATCTTTTTCTCCTTAAGATAGGAAAACATTTCTTTAATAAGAAACAGAAAGTAAGCACTAATCATAAAAGAAAATTGCAAATTAGACTCTGTTAATATCAAAGACATCATAGCAGAAAAAGACAAATAACAAAATAGTAAAAGGTATTTGAAATTCATAAAACCAATTAAAACATCCAGATTAAGAGTGCATAAAGATCCCTAGAAATCAGTAAGAAAAACAGGCAAAGCTGGGGGCTGAGGGAGATGAGGGACGAGGAAAAAAATTAAATAAACATTTCACAAAAGAGAATAAAATCTAAATGACCAATAATCATATGAAAATATGATGTGTTATGTTAATAATCAGAGAAATTCAAATTAAATCACAATGGGAAGCCACTGCAAACCAACAGATAACAAAAATTAGAATTCTGAGGATAAATATGAAAAGTTTAAGAAAATATGAAGCAATATAAAATTATGCTGTTAGTAGCAATATAAATTGGTACAGTCACTTTGGGAAACAATTTGCTATCATCTGTATAGTTCAAGTAAAGATATAGCAAGGTGACTAAGTTTAACAAGACTGTGCTGTACATTTGAAAATTGTTATGACAGTAGATTTTAATAGTTGTCACTACAGAAATCAAAACTATGGATATGTTAACTAACATTATTGTGGTCATCATTTTGCAATAAGTACATCTGTCAAATCACTGTGTTGTACATATTAAACAATATTCTATGTCCATTATTTCTCAATAAACTGGAAATAGATAGTATTTGTCAAGAGATTAAATGAATAGAAAGAAAGACAGCCACCTGAATAGTAATTAGAAGATGCAGGACCCAAACCCAGGACTTTCTGCCTCTATAGTATTTACTCTTAATATGTAGACAAAATTTTAAAATTAAACTCACAAGTAAGGAAAAAGATACACGTGTGTTGTATGAGGCACTGGCTTATCCTGAGGGCAGTAGCAGAATGTACTTTTTCCCCTATATCCTTGCTGTGAATGATATTCACCAAAATACACAAGTATTCTCAGTAAAAAAATCCAAAAGGAAATTTGCTCTCTGATTTCAGTGCCAAGAAGAGTTGTATCTTCATTTAGCAGAGGAAGGACCTGAGGTTCATAGAGGCTAAGTAACTTCTCAAAAGCAACTACTAAGAGGCAAGATCAGCATTCTAATAAGTATCTCTTTTCTTCATCGCTAAACCCCAAAGCTCTGAGACTAAACTCTGAAAAAAGATGCATTACTTGATCCAAAATCCCTTTGCTATATGACAATAACGATTGCCTGACCCTGTGATTTAAACATATATGAACTTACATTAGCCTAATCCCACATACAAAAATGTCTAATCCATGTGCCTCCCCAGACACTAAAAAGCATACTCACACCATTGAACTACCCCTCACTGAATATCCTAAAAATTGCAACCTTCTCATTTTGACTTGTCTTCCCCAGATCTAGAATACATGTTGGTCGACATCCGAATGCCCCCAAATTGAAGTATTCACCTACATAAATATCTGTCCATCCCTCATAACTCATAGTTGGGAAAACAGAAGCATGCCGTTGAGATGTCACAGAGAGGTTAAGAAACTCAAAGATCAGTCCCAACATCTAAACAGGAACCCTCAGGGGTCCTCTGTCCCCTTGGAGACAAATCCCCTAAAGAGGTCATCACACCACAACATCCTTAGCCTAAAAAGCATCTGAGAGGCCACAGAACAGACCTCAGACTCATGAGAAGCTGGCTGTGCTGCCACAATCAAGAGAGTCCTCCCACTTGAGTCAGAGCATCTCTGCCTTCTGAGATCTGGAGCTGGGAGAGCAGCAGTGAGCTAGGGACAAGGCATTAAGAAAGAAGGGTGGGGGTTGAGGTCAGGGAAGGAAAACATGTTACCCCTTTGGAGTAGTATATCAGCTCCTCCTCCATCCCTGCTTGTCTCCTTATCAATCAGCCCTGAATTTCATGGGAGACACATGAGGAAGCTGAGCTTTGACTGAGAAGCAGACACGACTTGATGAACGGACATGGTGCACATCAGCTTCTGGAGAGGCTGAGGAAGAAAGAAAAGCATCTGGACATAGAGGTGAGCTTCAGAAACTGGCCACCCACTTGGCTACTCCAACCCAGTTTGGTACCTTACTTTTTTTCTCCCAGATACTTTCAAATATCTCACAGATTGAGACAGCATAAGTCAAGCAGGACTTCCATGTGGCTTATGATCTTTAATTCAGCCTGTTTGATCTCTAACCCATTTATACCATTTGTTTTACTGGAAGTAAAACCCCACCAGTAGAAGGGAAAGAAAAGAAAACCCATTGTATTTACAGCCTGATCCACTCACCCTGTGTTTTTAGAACTATTCTTCCTGATTCTCAGATCCAAAACCTTCCTCCTTTTTTTCTAGTCATCA